CCCTTAGCCCTTTGTAGCATTTGAAACTGGCTCCTCTCCCTCCTGAAACTTCTTTTATATTGTCTTTAGTTTCTATATACTCTCTGAATGTCCTCCTATCTCTCTTACTATTCCTTCTCTATACTTTTTTGTGGATTATTTTATTTCCCTCATTGTCTCTCATTCTGTCTTGACTTTCATTTCTCTATTTAAGGTCTCTCTAATGATCTCACCCTCTCTTATGACTTCAGCCAATCTTTAAACTTAGCCTATGGTCTATGGGACATCTTCATCTTTGTGTTCCATCAGTACCTCAAACTCAGCATCGCGACCTGATCCTGCCTCTGTTCTCTCACCATCTGGATGCCAAACTTTGGAAGTATTGTTGATTCTTTCCTCTCCCTTCTCCTTGACATTAATTCCCATGTTAAAACTTTGCCTGTAGCCTGATGAACTCACAGGAGAAGAAATGTTCTCCTTTTCAAAGCATTGTCTATAGAAAGGCTATGGTACTAAATGATCTCTAAGATCTGTTTCCACCCCAACATTCCATGATTGTATAGATGCCAATGCTGCAGTAGATGCTGCCTCCAGTCATCATGCTCTTCTTTCCATGCCCATTGTCACCATTGCCATAAGCCCCTCACTTTGCCAAGTGGGGAGCATAGAGTACTGGTTCAAAGCAGAGGTTCTGTAATTAGGCATAGGAAGTTCAGACTCTGGTTCTGCCTCCACTACTTATAAGCCATAACCTTGGGCAAGTTGCTTAGCTCATCTGAGCCTCATTTCCCATTTCAAATGGGAATACCAATAATGTTTACCTAATAAGGCTGTTGTTGGGATTAAATGAAATAATACTTGTCAAGTACTGTGCCTAGAATCTAATAAATGCTAGATAAATGCTAGCTGTTATTATTAATTTTTCCTTATATGGCCAAAGTAACCTCCTAATTGTCCTGCCATCATTAATCCATCCTCCATTCCACTTCATTATATTTCACTAAACCTAGTTTAATAAAGTTGTATACTTTGATATACTGAATAGCAATTTTGAAAGTCCTCCAAAACACAAATTGGGTTTTTTTTATGCCCCAAAACAATTCCCAATAACTCCAAACAACTTAGCTTGACATAACCTTTCTTTTTAGTCACTCAGTCTCTCAGTTTCCCAGTCCCCTATTCCCAAGAGAAGAGCACATTTTTGTGAGCAGGCCATATCAAAGGCAGATAGCCAGCAAGCCTATAAGTGGGCTCACCCTAATCAGATGGCAATACTTGGTCCAATCAACTCTGATCAGAGGGTGAGATCTACTGTCCAATCAGCTAGGGCTGTGGGTGCACCAGGTCTCCTTAGAAGGGACTATGGGTAGGCAGGAAATACTTGACATCTCCAGTACAATAATATTCTTCTCTGCTCTATCCCATTGCCACCTACAGAATGCCTATCTATACTTCCAAGTCCAATTCAGTACTACCTCCTTCATGAAGTTTTTGCTGATCCTCTCAGCCAAATATGACATCTGTTTCATTTCAGTTCCCACAGGCTTGGTTTGCATCTCTGAATAGCAGTAAATATCCTATCTCCTCTTATAAGGTCCTTGTTTCTTACATGCATATACACACATCTTCTAACAGCAGCTAGACTATATGCGCCTTCAATGCAACTTTGTATTTTTGATTTGTTAAATATAATTGACAACCAATTTGCTTATGGTCCTCAAATATCAGTGGATCCTGGACCACCTGCATAAAAACTACCTATGGCACCTGTTACAATACAGATTCCTTGACCCTGTCCCAGACCTAATGAATCAGAATGGGAAAGGGACCAGGGCCCAAGAATCTGCACACTAACAAGTCTCCCAAGAGATTTCTACACACACAATTATCTGAAGCCTCCACTGTAGCAATTGTTTACCCTCATGAGCATCAGCAGCTTTCCACAGTGTAAACCATAGAAACAACTGTGACCAGCTCTGAGCAAAGCAGGTGGTTCCCATTCATGACCTAAGCAAGCATACACTCCTCTCTCCAGCCTAATCTGGACCTTGCAATCCACATGATGTCCTGTCTTCACCATAGCCTGTGAACAGACTCTGATGACTTTTCATATGATGAGAGCCCATGGCACTGTTGCCTATGGCACTTTCATAATTGTAGCCCAGGAGAAAAGCCTAAGAATGATATAATGCATTGAGCTCTGCTCCAGGGTGCTAAACAACAAGATAGAAAAGCTTAGTCTTGCACTCTGCCACCTTGCTAACCAAACATGAAATCTGTGGTTTCTTGGTGAGGTTGCAAGGATAGCAGGTGGCTTGAGAGAGAGAGAGAGAGAGAGAGAGAGAGAGTGTGTGTGTGTGTGTGTGTGTGTGTGTACAGGGACCATCTGCTTCTCACAATGTAGATGGGAACTCTTCTGTGACCTAAGTTGAAGCTTAAGCTCCGGGGCCAGGATTCTCTACACCACCTGTTCGTTAGAGTCACTTGGGCACCTTAAAAAAATCCCTATGCCCAGGTTGCATCCCAGATCAGTTAATAGAATATCTGGGGGTGAGAACCTGGCATCAGAACATTTTAACACCTCCACAGCCATTCCAATGTGCAGGCAGTTAAAAAGCTCTGTTCAATAGGAAGCACATGCATTAATTAATCTACATTATGGAGGAATTAACAACCTCCACTCATTGCTATCATTATCAGGTGAAGCCACAATGGCTTCTGCTGAAGCACCTACTGACACATGGCAAAATTCTGACACTGCTAGATCTGAACCAGTGGCTTTCTCAGCCCCAGGTAAAGAATCTCACCAAAGTAACTCAAATTCTGTTAGACACCTGGATTTTATGACTAGTGCTCTCAACAGCTCATTCCTTGGTAAAATGAAGATAGCCTTTTGTCACAGAAGCTACAAGAACCCCTTGGTTCAGAGTGGGCGCTCCACTCTGCCTGTAGGTTCACAGATTTGTGTGCATACTTGTGTTTTCATACCCTTTCTTTTCAAAATGGTTGTTATTGAATTTTACAGTAAGGAAGGCAAGGAGGAAGTGATGGAGTGCTGACGTACAGTCTTGTCTGTTTCTATTTGGCATAATAATTATTTTTCAGTGACGTCACGTCATTTCCTAAGCACTATATGGATATTACCGTGTTCAGTTCCAGCACCTCTGTGAGATAAGTGTTATTCCCAATCTACAGATGAGGAAATTGAAGAGCACAGAGATTAAACTTGCCTGAAGTCTAATTGAATCCAAATCTATCTGACTTCAAAATTCAGCTCTTAGCCACATTATACTGCCTCTTAGAGCATTTTTGTGGTCACATGAATGCCTCTTATCAAATGTCAAGTATTAATAAAATGTACTTTTTACTTTAAAGAATACCAGAAATTACTGATCAGACCCATAATTATAGTTTATGGATCTCCACAGGTACACAATGGTCAAAGTTGCTAAGGCAGGGTTACACCCAAATTGGATGCTTAATAAATGTTTGCTAATGAGTGGATGAATAGATAAATGACGGATAAGTCAATGTATGGATGGATAAACGAATAAATGTGGTATCTAATGGCAGTTTACACTATCTTTCTTTTCATATTAATCTCCTTGGAGGGAGAAGGACTATATTTTGTTAGCCATTGACTCTGTGCCTGACTCCAAAATTATTCTGTTGGTAGAATTTGAGAAAATACATATATTTCAATATTTTTCTACAGAGTGAGAAGGCCTACATCTTACCTAAACCCAGGAAAAAAGGGTATCAAAACAGTGGCTGAAAATTGAAAAATGTTGGGAACTTCTCATTGTTTTCTCTATAAAATAAGCAACCATGCATTTGGAAAATATGAATTTTTAAATATAGTCAACTCTTGAACAACACAGGGGTTAAGGACACTGATCCCTGAATAGCAGAAAATCCACATATAACTTTTGACTCCCCAAAACATAACTACTAACAGCCTACTATTGATTGGAAGCCTTACCAGTACCAATAACAATAACCAATTAACACTTATTTTGTATGTTATATACTCTTTTCTTACAAAAAAGTAAATTAGAGAAAAGAAAATATTATTAAGAAATTCATAAGGCGGGGAGGTGCCTGGGTGGCTTAATCAGTTAAGCGTCTGACTCTTGATCTCAGCTCAGGTCATGATCTCATGGTTCGTGGGACTGAGCCCAGAATCAGGCTGTGCGCTGACAATGCAGAGCCTGCTTGGGATTCTCTCTTCCTCTCTCTCTGCCCATCCCCTGCTCTTTCATGCTCTCTCTGTCTCAAAATAAATAAATAAACTGTGAAAATAATGAAAAAAAATCATAAGGAAGAGAAAATATATTTACAGTACTGTACATATATTTACTGAAAAATATCTGCATATAAGTGAACCCTGCAGTTCAAGCATCCTGTGTTTTTCAAGGATCAACTGCATCTTTTCCACTTTGGTTTTATTTCTCAATGTTGGGTATGCAAAGTTTCAGGGTTAACCCCATGAGAGCACTCAGGAGAACTATAAACAATCACAAAGTTGCTTCAACTGTAGGAGAGCAAGTGGAATCCTGGTTAGCATACAAAGAGCTCATGCGATCTGATGAACACCAGACCCCTCAGAGTTAGGAAGTGGAAGTATTCTCGCTCTCCAGAGACACTTTCACACTATTCCCCTTCATCCTACACTCTTACGAAAACTTCTCAGGGTGCCTGGTGGCTCAGTTGGTTGAGCATCCAACTCTTGGTTTTGACTCAGGTCATGATCTCATGTGCTGTCAGTGAGAAGCCTGCTTGGGATTCTCTCTCTCCCTCTCTCTCCCTCTGCCTCTTCCTCTCTCTCTCTCTCTCTCTCTCTCTCTTTCTCAAAATGAATAAATGAAAAAAACACACACCTCTGCTCTTTGGTTCACACTGTACAGACATGCCCTACCCACCTTGTAATAACACTCTGCTGATCACCTCTTTGCTTCTTGCTCCCACCAAATGAAGGAATTTCCTGTCTACATGGCTCCCACCATTACCCTTGAAGATCTCATTATGCAAGGGCATGACCTACCCAGTATCCCTACATCTCAGTTCCTTTACCTCCTGATTCCTGATTATCTCCATTCCTCCACAGCCACCCTTGGTTACACCCTGCACTTGCTACCGCCAAACATTCATCACCTCACAAATCACAGTTTCAAACATCCCATTTCTTATTCATGATCTCACCCCTCCAGCTTTCTCGCTTGGCCTTATTGAGCTTTTAGATCCATGGATCCTTGCGCCTTGGTTTTTTGGGGTGTTTTGTTTTGTTTTTGTTTGTACTTTTGCCCTCCCTTCCCCCATACCAGCTTAGATTCCTGGGCTCATCATTATAATTACCCTGTTGCAAATATGCTAGGTTTACTCAACCTCTTCTTTCATAGAATCTACTTATAGGCCCCCAGTCCTGGATGAACTTCACCATCCATCTCCCCTGTGTCGATGCCTGAGCAACTGAGTATTGTCACAAAAGTCAAAAAACCAATTCAGGTTAGTATCACAGTAAAATCTCAATTACAGATTTCAGTGGGTAGTCTACATGGCCCAGCAATCTTACTTTTGTTCTCTAGAAAGTTTGAGTTCCTGTTCTTCCCAACTACTATTTCTCTGACTCCCTCAGTCTCAGAAGATCACCTGTTGCAAACATTGTTGATTTGTCCTTATTTATGAAATCCTGGTTTTGTTTCAGTGACATAGAATCACATTTGGGCTAAGCCAGCAGTTTTTAGCCTGTTATGTGAACCTTCAGGGGAACACAAAGCCTTTCCGAGGGAAGATGAGCTTTGATCCTCAATTACCTTGTGTAAATTTCTCTGCACTGATCCACCTGAAAATGTCCTGTTGGTCCTCTATTCTTACCTCCCTCTGGCAATTCCTTCTTTGACTTTATAAAAGAAACTCATGGGGCGCCTGGGTGGCTCAGTTGGTTGAGCGTCTGACTTCGGCTCAGGTCATGATCTCACAGTTTGTGAGTTCGAGCCCTGTGTCAGGCTCTGTGCTGATGGCTCAGAATCTGGAGCCTGCTTTGGATTCTGTGTGTCCCTCTCTCTCCGCCCCTCCCCTGCTCATGCTCTGTCTCTCTCTCCCTGTCAAAAATAAAAATAAACTTTAAAAAATTTTTTAGGGGCGCCTGAGTGCCTCAGTCGGTTGAGCGTCTGGCTTCGGCTCAGGTCATGATCTCACAGTTTGTGAGTTCGAGCCCCACGTCGGGCTCTGTGCTGACAGCTCAGAGCCTGGAGCCTATTTCAGATTGTGTGTCTCCCTCTCTCTCTGCTCCTCCTCTGTTCGTGCTCTCTCTCTCTCTCTCTCTCTCTCTCTCTCTCTCAAAAATAAATAAACATTAAAAAATTTGAAAAAAGAAATAAAAAAGAAATTCATGCATTTCACTGTTTTAAAGTCTTACTTTGAGACATTGTGCAGTGCTGCAAGCTCTGATGCAGTAAGTCTGAAATGTTATCAGAGAAGCTTTCTTTAATTAAGGCACCATAAACTCATGATAGGAATTCATGTCCTTATAACATGTTTCCATTAGAAGTGATGCATAAGTTTAGAAATGGGGCATTTGACCCATATCAAAATATTCTGAATTGTGATATAGAGTGTGACAGTTGGAGGGATGACAATTTTCATTTAATAACGTATAAGAAATGTTGAAGGCGGTGTACCTTGTTCTATCTGTGGCAAGATTCCAGGATTTCTCTATCTTGGATTCATGTATTCAAGATTGTAAAAAGCATGCTGGCCAGTACCAATCTGCAGGAAAGCTAGTCTCTGAATCTTCACCATTCACAGTAGTGAAAAAGCATCAGATGAATACTTTCCTTTTATCTGTGTCTACAGATGGTCCTCAGTTGTATATTTTGTTGGATTTCAAGGAGGAAGAGGTGAAAAGTTCTATACTGACCTCTCACAGGTAAGCAATACAGCTTAGAGTAAAAGAAACATGAATCAGGGGCGCCTGGGTGGCGCAGTCGGTTAAGCGTCCGACTTCGGCCAGGTCACGATCTCGCGGTCCGTGGGTTCGAGCCCCGCGTCAGGCTCTGGGCTGATGGCTCGGAGCCTGGAGCCTGTTTCTGATTCTGTGTCTTCCTCTCTCTCTGCCCCTCCCCTGTTCATGCTCTGTCTCTCTCTGTCCCAAAAATAAATAAACGTTGGAAAAAAAAAAAAAAAAAAGAAACATGAATCAAAGTTAATGTTATATATCTGTCCAGACTAGTAGGAAAACATCTTCACTACTATTTACCCAAAGATTATTGAGTGTTGTAAATCCACATTCATTTTTTCCTTAAGTGAACATCTCCAACTGGCTGTCAGCATCAAACACTTACTTACTAGTTTATTTAGACCTACCATCGTTGCACATGTTTTGGACTATCCCAACAGAAACATGCAGTGGATTCTAGTATGCACTTCACACCTATTGCTACAACGTTGTACAACCCCGGAGAGCTCCATTCCTAGGCAGTCCTGTTGACAACAATCATTACTGATCCTTTGTAAGCCTGAATGTACAAGGGCCCATTATCTTCTGCTCCTCTTTCTCTCTTATTTTCTGTAAATTTGCACAAAACAGATTTAACTGTACTGTGGAAAGTAGAATTTCTATTTAGGTACAAGTTTAGGACAGTAAGTTCATTAAATGCAAATGAGGATGTAAAGCTATCTCCATCCTCTCAGATTAAGGTGTTCATTTCAAACAGTTCTAACTGCTCAGCCCTGGACTTTATGTGAAGGGAGAAAACTAAACCTTTATTTGTTGAAGCAGCTTTTGGTTGGGTATTCTGTCGTTTGCAACCAAAGCGTCCCAAACTGACTCGCCCTCTTAATTCATTTCTCACAGAGAATATTGCATTCATCAGACTGTGCCTCCCAACCATCAATCCCACAGAATTTCCTGGACCCCCACACACTCTTTCTCTCCTTTTCCCACAGTGGAAGAGACATCTTTCCTCTGAGTGAAGGCCATTCAGCCACATGTGGTTTGCCTGCCAACTGAGGACCTTGCCCTGGTAGTTACCCTCTCTGTTTTGCATCTTTAGCCTCTTACTCTGCACCCAAACTTTACAAACAGCATTCTTCTATGTTCCACCTCAAGCAAACAACAAACAAAAAATACCTCCCTTGATGACACCAGCTCCCCTGCCTGTATTCTTTGTATTGCTCTTCTTTCCAGCCAAGCCTCACAAGACTTACTGCACTCACCATCTCTGCTTCCTTTTCTTCTTGGACACCACCAATCTATAAAGGCAGCTCTTACAGTTGTGACAATTATGTCACTAAATCCAACAGATACTTCTCAGTCTTATATTTAACTTCTTAGCAGCATTCGACACTGTTGATTACCGACCAGTTCTTAAACCATTCTCATTTGTCTCCTATCAGACCACACCCTCCTGGCTTCCTGCACCCTGTGGCCATGGCATCTCAGACTCCCGTTCTGATTCCTCCTTCTCAAACTGCTTCTGAATATTGGCCCTCCTTGTGGCTCTCTCCCTGTCTTTCTCCTCTTCTTGTGCTCTGTTCTGTCAGCCCAGAATGATCTCATGTGTAGAGGCAGTTGACGTTCAAATGTGTATCTCCAGTCCGATCTTTTTGCTGAGCTCCACCTTTGCATAAGTGATTGCTAACTTGACTCTATTTGGGCAGCTCGCAGGCACCTCAGACTTATGATTTACAAAATCAGACTCTTAATCTTTACTCACTCAAATGTGCTTCCCCCTTTGGTATTGATGTAAACATCAATAAATGACATCTTCATTTCTGCAGATGGTCTTGCTAGAATACTGAGTGCATCATCTCTGACATAGCCCTAATCCTATCTCACCTCTTTCTTCTTCAACCCCAATTTCAATCCCAAATAAGCCATCATCAAGTCCTATCAATTTTACCTCTAAAATAACCCCTGTATCAATTCACTTCTAGTTGTTTCCACTTTAGCAACAATCTAAACCACCAAAGACTTTTACTATAGCTTCTTACCTGGTTTTCCTTAATCTTTTCTCTAATCTGTTCTTCACAAAAGAGCCAGGCAATGACTGAAGAGATAAAGTTAATCATGTCATTTCCCATTTTGAAATAGCCCTTCAATGGCTACCCGTTGTACTTGGATAAAACTCTGCTATGTTTGTTTCTTTTTTCTTTATTTTTTATTCAAGTATAACTAATATACAGTGTTATGTTAGTCTCAGGTGTGCAATATAATGATTCAGCAATCTTATACATTACTCAGTGCTCATCACCATAAATGTATTTATTTTTAGTATAGTTGACACACAATGTGACATTAGTTTCAGGTGTACAACATAGTGATTTGGCAAGTTTATACATTATGCTATGTTCACCACAAGTATAGCTACAATCTGTCCAGTTACATTGCTATTACAATATCACTGTATTCCTTATGGTATGCCTTTTATTCCTGTGACTTAGTGATTCCATAACTGGAAGCCTGTATCTCCCTTTCCTGTCACCCATTTTGCCCAACCTCCCACTCACCACCCCACTTTGGCAACCATCAGTTTGTTCTCTGTAAAAAAGTCTACTACCTTTGATGTTGCCTATAAAGCACTACCTAATTTATCTCCCTCCTACCATCCCAATCTCATCATATGTCTCTCCACTTGGCTCACTGTGACCCAACCACATTAGCCTCTGTCTCTGCTTGACAGAGTTCCTTGAGAGTGCCAAGTTCTTTGCTATTCAAGGCCTGCTCAGTGTATAATGCTCTTTTCCAGGCTTTGCCTTCTAGTCTAAATTTAAATGTCATTTCCTCAGAAAGTCTTTTCCTAATGCCACAATCCAAGTTTTACCCCTTTCACTACTCTCTCCACAATGTTTATCATCAGCTGGATTACTTTTCTTACATTTTTTGCTACTTTGAACTGTCCTCCTATGAACATTTTACATATGTATGAAGAGTTTCTCTAAGGCAGTGTTTTCAAACTGGGGGTCCCAATCTGCTGGTGGGTAGTAATAATATTTTTTTTTAAAAAAGAAGAAAGAAAAATAAATAGAAGAGAATAGAATAAAATACTAGACTACATTGCATGTAACAAGTAAACGTAAGCTTTGTTTCATTAAACTTTTATTGTGTGTCTGTGTGTGTGTGTGTGTGTGTGTGTGTGTTGGATTACAAGTTAAAATAGATTTATTATTGCAGGTCAAAGTAAAAAATGGTTAGAAAGCCACTATTCCAGGATATATTTTAGGAATGTATATCTTGGGTCACAGTGTCCAATTATAATTTTAAACACAAATTATAGGAAATCAGAAACTCCAGTGGCAGGAAAAAATTAGATAGACAGATAGATAGATAGATAGATAGATATTGCACTTTGCCCTTGGTTTACTCATGCTAGTTTCCATAAACTTTGTTCACATTAACAGTATCTTTTTTAAAAAAGGGACAAATTCTTAGAATAAAATATCTTACAGATATTATATAAGAGGTAAGTTATTTATGTAGATATCAGTGTTGTTTAAGCACACAGAGCAGTGACAGAAACCAGGAGGTTTGAAGTTTTAGCATGCATTCTCTTTCCATAACTTTCCACATCACCAATTTACATTATGGCTAGAAATAAATCCTTCATGTTTATTTAAACACTAAAAGTGCAGAACACGTTTATTTTATTGTGTAAAACCCTACTGGAAAAATCCTGGCTGCTTAGGATAGTAATCCCCAATCCATGGACAAAATACCACCTCCATGCGCTGTTTTCTATTCTCGGTCCCACTTGGTGCACTGCCGCCCTTTCACCCACCTTTGCCGCACAGCAGAGACCTGTAACTGTGCCAGGTTTACCAAGCCAGAGCAGAACAGCTGCCTCTGTGCAGCCCTCGAAGGGAACTGAAGGACAATCTACCCTGAAGGATCCACCCAGTGCCTGACTTCCCACTGTCTGGTGTCAGCCAGAAGACCCTTGTTAAAATCCAACTACTTTACATAGGAGGAAGTCACATTTTTAAACCATTAGTTTAAAAGCAGGACCAGGACCTTGAATGAATGGGATGGAAATAAGTGGGATCCTCCAGCTGGCTGGGGTAGGAAGCAGCAATGGAACCTTTAGTGAGGAAGCAGGCTGAGTCCCCCGGCTAGATGTGGAGAAGAAGGGCTGGAGACAAACCCTTCCTACTAGCAGTTTTGCTGTGCCTCTCAATACTATCCCTGTCACTGTGGGGATGTGTTGGGAGCGCTAAGAATCAGAGCAGGCATTTCAGTTCTGTTCTATTCAACCTCATTCACACGCTGCCTCCATTGTGAGGTTTCAGGCCTGGCCCCACGCTCGTGCTCAAACACAGTTTCCCAGAAGTCAGTATTGGGAATATAGAAACCAACCAAGTTTTGGATACCCGTCTGGTTTATATGTTGCCCTTTTATTTCTTTTGCAATTGTCTTTAGGACTGGCCTGACCCTTCTTTTAGCCAGCTTTGTTTTTTCAATCAGCTCCAAATAGATATTCCATTTGAGTGAAACCAGTACTGCCCTGTAGCCCAAGCCAGCAATGAAAAGAGGAATGTGAGATTTCAAAAGCAATAAAAGAAAACAAAACCAGACAGAGAGCAGGTCTGTTTCTTGGGACACATCAACCTTACACCACGTTGCCGGAGTCACTTTTTATTGAAGAAGACAAACAGATAAAATCCCTCCATAGCTGATGTAAGAAAGAAGTCTTTTGGTAAGAACAGAAATAAAGAGAACTCGGGTCCTGGCTGAGATTGCTGGGCCAAGATTCAGATGTGAAGGGGGAGTTGTGAATATTTCCCTTACCTCTGATGTATAAGACTTGACTTGATTTTGCTCCCAGGAGCCCATGGGCTCTGACTTTGGGAGCAGGCTGCAGAGAGGCAGAGTTCCTCATCTTCAGAGTCCACAACTTCTACTTCATCGCTTACTCACTCACTCCCAGGCCAGGTTTTGATTAAACTCATTAACAGTGGGGTGTAAATGACAAATGTAGCTCCTTGCTTGGTTTTGACCCTTCTCCTAACAGAAATTCACAATACACATTATCATATTGGAGTATTGAGAAGTCCCACAGAGACGGAACCTGTCTAACTTTGTTTTGTCCACAGTGTCCCAACTTATCTGACCATGGTCTTTTTTGTGCCCTCTGAATAACATCATTTTAGAGGGAACTAGCCTTGTGAGAAACGTGTTTCTTTAGGTTAAACAAATACCTCTGTCATTCTTTCAGCCAACAGTCACTGAGGCACAGTGTATGCTGGGCACCAGTGAGTAAAACAGGCACCGTTATGAAGCTTATATTCTTTAAACAATGAATGTCTTCCCCCACCTTACTAATATAATCACTCAGGTGAGGATGTGGCTGAGCCAATGACTGAAGATATCTGAAGGAAGATACTAACCAGATGAACAGGTAGGAAGTACAAGAAGAACAAGGTTCTAGGAACAGGGAACACAGGGACAAATATCTGGCATTAGGAGAAAGCATGGTGCCATTCAAGAAGCAGAGTGAGAGCTTTCCCCCTGTTGGAGGTGGAGGGGGTGGAGGCCAGATCTAGTGAGGAAGTTGGTTGGGAAAGGACTTGTTTTGGCCTGAGGGTCCTTCCCAGTGCCGCTAAAATCACACCACCTCTGTGCCACTCGGCACTTGCCAGGTTCCAGGCAGAGGCTCTATCAGGTAACTGCACAACAGGCATCAATGCCCTCGTTTTCCAGAGGAGGAAACAAAGGTCAGAGAAGCATGTGACCTTCCCAAGAACATACAGTCACTTGGGTCAGAGTCAGGATTTAAACTCAAGTCTGTCTGAGTCCAAAGCCTTGTGCTAATCTAACAACGCCCTGGAGACAGCTGCCTGTACCGTCATGCATAGCCTCTCCAGAGCACCTAGTTCCTAAATGCTTCTGTGCCCTGGGGAGGGCACAGCCTGAGGATATGACACACACATGTCACATTAAGTGTTAGAGAGCACTGGAGTGGGACACCAAAAGGCACCTTTCAGGACTCAGAGTATCATTGTGAGTGCCAAAAGTGGACACAATTTTCCATTTAATGCTTTAAAGTAGGCTGTACACCCAAGCTCAGAAAGGAAGACCAGGGTGCCCTTCGGAGGTCTTGATGCTCCCGTGGCTCTGACCCTGAAAAGTGGCAGTGGCCTTTAAATGCCCCAGGAGCAGAAGCCTTGTGTCATCTCACGGACCTCCATGCCAGTGCTGCAGACCCCAGACCCCCTCTGGGAAGCCCCAGAGCCCTTAGAGAAAGTTTTTGGTGATGTGAATATGCCTGAGGAGATTCATGGCTGCCAAAAAGTGCTTGAGGTTGGATGGTGAGGCCAGGAGGAGTTGGTTTTAGGATTTTTAGACTTAAAGCTTTATCTGATAAGTAAAACCATGTCCTCAAAAATCCCTAGGTCTGATCTACTTCCTCTCTGGACTTTCTTAAATGTACAGTGGCAGACAGGTCCAGAACCCCATGTTCCTGACATCCTCTATATCATGTAATCGTGTGTGTGCATGCACGTGCTTGGGGGTGTGCACACATACACTATGCCTTCCAACTGAGTACATTGTGCCTTGTACCAGCTATAACCCTAAAGGCAGTTAAATTCCAGGAATCCTAGGGCTCCTTAAATCTAATAATGGTCCCAGTTGGAGATATCCCAATGAAATGTCATCTTTGAGGCTAGCCTTCAGGATGCTCCCTTGGGCTAGCCATGTGAATACCCACTGGCTTCCATAGGGAGATAGTGGGAGACTCTAAAGGTGCAGCTAACTCCTGTAGATCCTACTGCCCTTCAGAACCTTGCCACCCAAAGAGGGACCTCTTTGTAGGGCACAGTCTTTCACAACAAATAGATCTGAATTTGATTCATGGTCTTGCTATGTGATCCTGGGCAAGACATTCAGCCTCAGTTTCTACATCTTAAAATGGATCTAATACCTTCCTGCTGGGACTGTTGCAATGATTAAATGAGCACATATAAATCAGCTCACAAAATCCTGGATACATGGTAAGTCCTTAATAAATGGTGGTAATTATTTCCTCAGTGACTACCAAGCAGAAGAAATCAAGGGCCCCAGATGAGTAGGCAGAAGGGTCTAGCAAAGAAAGTCTGCAGCTGTGTAATCTCTGGCTCTGGTGACCCTACCTCTACCCACTCTAACCTCCAGTTAGCCCTAAGGGTTCCTGAATGGGCTGACAGGTGGTCTGGGTTATCAGCCATCTCCCTGAGCCAGGGTGTGTCTTCAGAATTGAGGCCATGAGGGGTAGTAGATCAGGAATTATCTTCACAATAGTTCTGCCTTCATGATATTAAAAATAATTTACGCTCCCTGCATCTCACTTTTCTCATTTGTAAAATGAGAATAATGATGACACCTCTCCCACAGTGCATTTGTGCAGATTAATGAGACAATGTAAAAAGGTGCTTTAGGGTATAGTTATGTTTTATGATGGAGACAGAGAAGTAATTGTTCATAAATTTGGCCTCTGCTGGGAAACTTCCAGTAACAATGAGTTACAGAAAGGATCATATTATTGATCAGTTATAGCTGTTTGAAGTTTTCCCTTTACATTAAAGCAGATGCCTGGTCTTCGTCTCAACCCTGACACATGGATTTCATAGCACAAGTCCCAGATTAAATCAGAATCTCTGAGGATAGGAGCTGGGCTTATATATTTACAGGCCCACAGGTGACTGCAGGACAGGCAAGACTGCTCACCACTGACCTAAGGATCAAGAATGACCTGGAGTTGGGGCAGAATTCTCTGGGGCTATTGATATGATCAAGTTCTATGGATGGCAAGGACAGAACCCTACCCAGTCTGACTCAAACTCTACCCTTGGATAGGAATTTGTCTGGAACAAGAAACAATATATTAGGAAAGTCTCCAAGAGACTTATACCTTCTAGATTTATCCAACTTAACATCCAAAATGACCAAATCTCAATGTATTCCTCTAGTTGTCTCCCCTAGGTATCTCTGAAGCGTCTCAGTGGGAGCAAGAAAAATGGCCACAGCAAGGTTGGCTGAAGGGGTGGAGAGACTGAACACTGTCAGGCTTAAGGGCTGTCAAACAGTGTACTTGGAACAAAGTGCAAAGTGAGTGAGGAGACTTCTCTACCGAACCCTACTTAACTGGTGCCTGTAAATACTTGGACTAAAACGGACACATTCTAAGGCATGAAGAAACTTTAGCCACTATTAGTTTGTAGGTACATAAGAGATTCAGCTCACAGGTCAAGAAAGTGTTTCACCATATGATGTCTTTTGTATGGTAAGCTATTTAAAGTATAGAATACAAGCAATACAATTATAAGGAAAATTTTCTGACTTTTATTATAGCATTTTGCCCCATGCTCTTCGACATATTTATACACTTTTTAATGTTGTCATTTCATATAAAAATTTTGTTATGCCGCCAAGCAGATTAGGAGCGCCTTGAGGGAAGGGATTCTATCCTATGCAACCAATGTGGAATTCTGGGTGTTTGGTAAGTGCTCATCAAATACTTCATGGAACATTGAATATTGTGGACCTTGTACTTCATGCTTCTAACTCCAGGTCCAAGATAGGGCTGGCTTCTGTGGAAAGTACCACCCCTGTACCTTATGTCAGACTATGACAAAATATCCCTGGGAAGCCCCCAGAAGTTTGTCTGGTTGCTTTCTGTTGTTGCCATCACTTGAGTGACATGTGGGTCTCCAGAGAGAGAGTTTGCCTTCTCCTTTTCTCACAGAGCAACATGCTCACTGTTGGCTGAAGGATACGTATGTTTTATGGAGGGCAGATTAAGTTACACATAGGCATTGTCTTCACTACTCACAGCACCAGGCACTGCTTTGGGACAACAAGCAGTCTCCTGACTGCCACCACGGGTGGGGTCCTTCGTAGCTCAAAGCTTTGACTCCCAACCTGTCCTAATAATCTGTCTTGCTTGTGCCATTTGGTGTTGAGATCCCTGATTTCTGAAGGCATAAAGTAACTTTTGCCCAGGATTTGACTTTCTCTCCTTCTAACCACTAGAGCCCACACCAGCCAATCTCCTGAAGCGCTATTGTGTCAGGCTTGAAATGGAGGCTCAATATTATTTGCTGCTTCAGCATGTTATAAAGTCCAGAGGCTCCCCGGTGGCCTAACTGCAAGTTCCCATCCCTTGTCTCTTCATGCGGATGTCTCTTAGCCAAACAGCCCTCCTCATCATGGGGACCAGGCACACCACCTGTTTATCATTCATCGTGTGTAGGATTCAGTTCCCTGTCAGCCCACAGAATTACTCAAACAAGCCAATCACATCCTTCTTGGGAGCCAGGGGGCACCTCACTGTCTTGATACTACAAAGTTTGCTTCCCACAGCCCCCACTTGTTCACCCTGACCTCAAGTGCAACCCTCATGTGACTCTGTGTGGCATGGAGTGTCCTCCTCCCCCAAGCTAAGTATATATGACCAATAAACTGCTGTTGATCTCGTCTCTTCAGTGTCAGGTGTCACAGCCATGCCCATAATCCCAGGGCGGGAATCCTCCCCTTACTGATGGGGTGAAGTGGAGGCGATTAAAACAGCTATGCCCACCCCGTTCCTGAAGTGAATCCTCTGGCTATTAGTTCTTGTGCCTGTTTCTCAGAACTCTAAAGATGCACCTGTTCCCTGTGGAGTTTTGGATTCTTCTGCTGCCCTTCTGGAGGGCTCTCTGCTGCATTTCCCCAGACTTTCCCACCTTCGGTTCTTCACACTGAGCCAGTTACTGGCTCTTGCAATACCAACAACAACATGGAAAGGATTCAGGAGCCACTTCTTCCAGTCAATAACAAGTAATTATTAAATATCTCACTGTCTTTGTCTGGCAGCATTAATGTTCTCCAAATCTTCTTCAGTATTTTCCTACATCCATCCCACCATGCTGAGGGCATACACATATAGTCTGGGGATAAAGGGAGTTTCTGCTATGGAGACTCAAATGTCAGATAGTTATACAATAGTATACCTTAAAAAAAAATAAAACTCCACTACTCTGAATAAGAAGCCACTTCATTTTTTCACTTTCTAACAACATGGAAACTCACCAAAGTAAGGTCATGGTAGAATGCACTATTAACTAACCTATCTACTTCTAACTACAGTTTGTACAGTAGGCTTTCACATGCCCTTAGGAGTCAGAAGGGAAAAAGAACACCCCTCCTGTGTTACCTCTACTGAATATTGGGGGATTCCTCCCCTATTTTAGGATGTAGATCTCCCTTCTGCAACTTTACGGCAGTCTGACCAGTTCACCTGAAGATTTAAAAATTAGATTTATTTGCATTAGCCAGAAGATATAGGTGAATATTTACCTAACTCCTGATTAGGGAAGGCCTAAGTTTAAAAGCAAAGTAAGAAATCCCAATGAGAAAAGGTGGTAGATGTAACTTTTTCTAAAATTATAAATTCCTAAGTGAAGTGAAAGGTCAAATTGGGGAAAAGATAAAACAGATTTGGCTGTCAATGTGTTCATGGTCTTACCACTAAAAGTAGTACTCACAAAAAAGACAGATATATATACCCCAATAGAAATATTCTTACAGGAAAAGCATCAAAAGGTATGATTAAGGAGTTAACAAAAGAAAAATACAAACCACCAATAGTTCTATCCAAAAGATCCATCATCTCCAGCAAACAAATAACTACAAATTAAAGTTAAGACGAAGATACTAATTTTTGCCTATCAAACCGGCAGTGAGTGGGCTCTCCCACCTTGTGAGTCTTGGAAGGCATGGCTCATCCCTTCCTATGAGAGGTACACACACCAGCTACTCTCATTCCCAGCCTCTAGGCTTGGGCACTCAGATGTAATGACCCAAGATTGTGCATCTGTTGCTTGTCATGCCTAGAAACTGGAAGAGAGCAGAACTCTTTCTGGCTGCCACAGCAACATCCAGTTTCCGGGAGCTGCCGAGGTAGTGATGCCAGCATGGTGTCTGATGTCCAGGCCCAGGGCCAGTAGTGGCAGCAAGTGCAGGCTCCCATTCTGCCTCAGTGGCAGTAGCAGAGGAATCCTTGCTGCACTGGGTCAGTAGTGAGCCATTGGCTGGGGCTCCGGCTGCCCAGCCTTCCTCCATTGCTGCCCATTACCTAAGCCTTAGGTTCTAACTTTCCTGACAAATCTGTGGGCTGCCCAACACCTTGTAATCAAATCTTACAGTAGTGTCTGTTGTTTGACTGATACAGTGTTATATACAGAAAGCTTTCCAACCTTATCATTTCACTTTCAGGACGTATCTTAGGTAAATAACTAGATGTGCACATTTAAGTAAAGGATTTCCTTCTATGCCCCGTTGAGAGGAGCAAAAACATGGAAACAATCTGAATACAATCTCTCTACAATAGGGAAAATATGTGTGGAATATGATATAGTGATTAAAAATTGTGTTCTTAAAGAATATTAACAGATGTATAAATACTCATAATACTAAGTTTAAAAAACAAAATGTTCAGTAAAAGTCCAGTTTTTCACAAATAACCACAATGTTAATGGCTTCTTTCTTTTGGATATAAGATTATTGGTTAAGTTTTCTTTTCTTTGTATGTATTGGGTAACTTCTTTTTTTTAATTTATATTTCATTATTTTTTTTATTTTAGAGAGAGAGCAGGGCAGTAGAGCAGAGGGGGAGAGAGAATCTTAAGCAGGTTCCACGCTCAGCATGGATGCAGTGGGGCCAGATCCCATGATTCTGGGATCATGACCTGAGCTGAAATCAAGAGTTGTATGCTCAACTGACTGAGCTACCCAGGCACTCCTGTATTGGGTAACTTCTAATCCTCTATAATGAACATGTATTGTTTTGCTGATATCCAAAAAAGCGAACAAAAGCTAAATAAGGAAACAAAATAGATTTACCTGAAATTATCAAATGGGTAAATTGGTCTTTTGTTTAGTTGTGTTTCCCTTTTGCAGTTTGATAGTAGATATTCAACTGGCAAAGAATGGGGGAGAATTTAACAAGCTTCTGAAGAGATCGAATACCCCATTTTCTGTAGGCTATAGACTGAATGCTTGTATCCCCCTCAATTTCATATTTTGAAATCCTAAGCCCCAAAGTAATGGTATTAGGAAGAGATTAGCTCATGAAAGTGGAAGCTTTATGAATGGGATTATTGCCCCTATAAATGGGACTCCAGAGAGCTCCCCCATCCTTTCTACCATGTGAAGAAACAGGAATAAGCCAGCCATCTCTGAACCAGGAAGCAGGCCTCACCAGATACCTAATCTGCTGGCACCTTGATCTTGGACTTCCCAACCTCCAGGACTGTGAGTAATAAATTTCTGTTGTTTATTAGCCACCGGGTCCATGGTACTTTTGTTTTAACAGCCTGAACTGAGACACTATATTTTTTTCTCAGCTACCCAAAGAACTGTCTCAATGAAACAATGATTTTAATTTAGGAAACTTCATTAAAACAAAACAAAAAGGAGCCTGGAATTCATTTGTTCACTCAAGGCAGGAGGTCTGAATTAAGAGAAAGATGAGACGATAGGTATATGGACTGAGGGAGAGGCCCACATAGGAAAGGTGGAGGGTCATAAAAGCAATACAGAGTCTAAAAACCCAGGGAAGAGAAATCTATCCTCATTCTCCACTGAGAACATGTTAATTGTCTTTGCCTTGTGCTGATGCCGCTCTTAATAACACTTATTACAATGGCAGGGTGCTTTACAGTTTATGAAGCACTTGTACTTCCCCCTATATTATTATTAGGCTCATTTTACAGGAGAGAAAATTAAGCCCTAGAGAAGTTAAATGATTCATTACATGTCTCATGTTATTTTGTGGCAGGACTAGGCCTACAAACCAGGGCTTTTGCTCTCATGATTATTCCTGGAGGTGGCAGAGTGATTGAAAGCTTGGGCTCTGGAGCCAGATAAACCTGGGCAGGCACCCAGCTCTGCCCCTAACTGTGCGAACTCAGGGAAATTGCCTAGTCCTCCTCAGTCTCTGTTTCATCATCTCTGAGCGAGAGAGAAGAGCACCTATTCTGAGGGTCTCTGTGAGAAAAAAAAGGCAGCTGTTACTACCCCACCATCTCCTTGACAAGCCTTGTTTTCAGTCTCCCAGGACCTACATCCCTGTTTTGAGTCAAATTGTGTCCTGCCCAAATTCATATGTTGAAGTCCTAGCCCTCAGTACTGTAAAATATGACCTTCTATGGAAATAGGGTCTTTGCAGATGTAAGGACTTAAGTCGAGGTCATGCTGAAGTAGGGTGGGCCCCTATTCCAGTATGACTGGTGTCCTTATAAAGAAGGGGAATTTGGAGACAGACACACACAGGGAGAATGCCATGTGAAGATTTTAGCTATGCTGCCACAAACCAAGCTATCAAAGCTAGGAAAGAGACCCAGAACAGATGCCTCCCTCGTGCTTTCAGAGGGAGCATGGTCCTGCTGACATCTTGATTTTGGGCTGTGGCCCTCAAACTGTAATACAATAAGCCAGCCAGTTTGTGGTACTTTATTATGGGAGCCCCAGGGCACTAATACAGTCTTCTACCCACTGTGGTGCTGGTATATCTGTGTCAGTACCTATTCAGTCCCATAAAGGGTTTTTGGGTTTTGTTTTTGTTTTGTTTTACCATCACTGGATTGCAATCAGGTTCTCTCTGCAATGCTTGCAGCCAAGTTCATTCATCAGAAATCATCAAAAGGGAAATCTTTGAATGCTGGAAAGGGAAACCTAGGATGAAAAACTAGGTTTAAAAAATAATTAGTCTGATCGTAAAAGTCTCATTAAAAATATATCTTAACCATAAATGGGCTTAAAGTTGCCGTTTACACTTTAACCACCCACCCCATTAGAGGGGGCTCTCCCTTCTAGCCATACTCATTCTGTAGCAATAATTCCCACCTTAGAATCCCTGGGGATGACGCTTAGGGAAATGTATTTTTTAAAAGTTTTCCAAATGATTTTGATAGTCAGCTGTTTTCCTGTAATAAAATGCCATTATTTAATTAGATTTGAAAATATGGCCTGATTACAATAAGAAGCAAATTTAGATCCGAAAGAAGTAAAGTATATGCACTAGCTTCCTGTTGCTGCTTTACAAACTGCAAATTTGCTTTACTATTGCAAATTATCAGAAACTCAGTGGCTTCAAACAGTGTAAACGTATTATCTTACAGTTCTGGAGATCAGAAATTGTAAGATCTCCCTACAGCACCATGTTCCTTCTGGAAGCTCTAGGGAGGAATCCGTTTGCTTGCCTTTTCCCTCTTCTAGAGATACACGTGACCCTTTCTTCATATCATTCTGACTTCTGCTTCCATCATCACATCCTTCTCCGACTCTGCTCCTCCTGATTCACTCCTACAAGGACACTTAGAATTACACTAGACCTCAGGCTATCCATGATAATCTTCCTACCTCAATATCCTTTTTTTTTTTTTTTTTTTTTTTTTAAGTTTATCTGTTGAATTGGGGTGGGGAGCAGAGAGAGAGA